GGAAATAGGATGGATCCTGTTAACCTAAAACTATGTGCTTCTTCCTAGTGCCTTTTCAATGAGATCCTCTTGTGGTTCCTTGTATTCCGAGTCCTTGCTCCCACAGGACGACCTTGTGTGGCCGAACTTCAGCAGGAGCAGCCGCCCCAACCACGTTGGGAAGGAAACGCCTTTGGCCTCCAATTCCTGGTCCCAGACGTGAAGGTGCCTCTTCCTTGTTCTCTCCAGCCCAGCTTCCTCAGGTCCCACCTTCCCCCTGCTTAGCAGATACCTCATCTGGGAGAGGCAGCCTCGTCTCCACCTTCTCCTGCTGGACTCGGGAACGCTTCACCTCATTCCTCACAGGAAACCCTCTGGAAACACGCTTTCAGGAATGGCTCCTGGGTGGATTAAGGCTGGCAGCTGCGTGCTCCGGAGGTCTGGAGCTCCAGCGCTTCCCAGGTCTGCCTGGCACGCTGAGCTGAGCGGGACGTGCTCGTGTTTTGCCTCCCTCTGAGCCTGAATGGATTGTAAACACTGGCTCCCAGGATCCCACCTCTGCTATCCAGCTGCTTTCCTCCTTTCCTTCCTTGGCTGTTGCGGTTTGGCTGCTGCTTCAGGGCTCCACGGAGCTGTGCCCTGTGGGAAGCGAGTGTCCAGTGTTGGAGGGATCCTCCCTGGGAGCACTGGCACACCATCAGTGTGTTTGGCTTGTGTGGAGCAGAGCACTGGATGGATAATGGTTTGTATCCACTGGAAGGGGCTGTTGGGAACTGCTTAAACAGGAGTTTTGCTTTTGCTGTCGGCAGTTCTGTATAACACAAGGAATGCTGCAGGGAGGAGATCTTTCAGAATTCCATAATGGAACAGGTTGGAAGGGACCACGGCGGGTCACCCGCTCAAGCAGGGTCATCCCAGAGCACATGGCACAGGATTGTGTCCCGATGGTTCTGGAATCTCTCCAGTGAGGGAGACTCCAAACCCTCTCTCTGGGCAGCCTGTTCCAGTGCTTGGGAAATAAGTTCTTCCTTGTGTTCAGGTGGAACTTCCCGTGCATCAGTTTGTACCTGTTCCCTCTTGTCCCACTGCTCTGCACCCCCAAGCAGAGCCTGGTCCATCCTCTTGGCACCCCCCAGTCAGATATTTACACGCATGGATGGGGTCCCCTCTCAGTGTCTCTTCTCGAGGCTGAACAAGTCCAGCTCCCTCAGCCTTTCCTTGGAAAGGAGGCTCCAGTCCCTTGATCCTCCTTGTTCCCTGCACTGGGCACACTCCAGGAGCTCCGTGCCACTCTGGCTCTGAGGAGCCCACAGCTGGGCACGTCACTCTGGATGTGGCCTGAGCAGGGCTGAGTGGAGGGGCAGGATTCTTTGGGGAACAGTTTTCCATGGCTTATGTAGAATCCAGGGGCTTCACCCTTAGCCAGTGTTCAAATCCAGGATGAGCCCTGCAGAGCTGGATTTGCTGGGGAGGCTGAAGAGTTCGCAGCATTATTTTTCTCAGCCCCTGCTGCCACGTGTCCTGCTCCAGGGAAATGATGGACTGTTGGCCCTCACCTTCCCTCATTTCCATAAACACCTCCTCTATCCTGGTAATGACAGGAAAAAGGGCTTGTGGATAAATAAGACTGGAGTGAGTAGACTTGAGAACCACCCTCCAACTTTGTTTTAGAAGTTTATTTCACAATTTCAGTGTTCCTTGCATCCCATTTCCAATGCTGGCAACGTATTCTATAAGGATTTTTATTTTTTTTTCACCTGTTACTGTTGATTTGATTTGAACGCTTCAAAACCAGCTTTGACTGCATAACTTAGAGCTCAAAAGTATTTTTCTAGTCTGATCTTTTTTTTTCTTAAGAAAAAAAAAATACATCTGTCATATCCATGCACACTGGAGCTGGAACACTTTCCTTTTTCCTGGCACTTTTTTAGTAAAGCACTGAAGTCTAAAGAGACAAACTGGGTGGTGAGCCTGGTTCCTGCTGGGAACTGTGGTCCAGTTGTACAGAAATGTTCCTAGAGGTCATAGTACTGTAATCAAGGCAGGATTTTATTTTTTTTTTTCCATTGTGAGGGTGGGAATGGGGATGGGAAGAAATTAAAGCCACTGTTGGGCTGCTTCCAGCAGGGACAGACCCACCTTGAAGCAAAGGCATGCCAGGAGCCAGTCAGGAATGTGATGGGAGCGGTTCCTGCTCTCAGACCTCATCCATGCCCTGAAAAGGGTTCTCCTCAGTTTGTTAGGAAGCTCTGGGATGCCATGGAAAAGGCTGAGATCTTCCCAACCAAACACTCTTCTGTGTTTTAATGGCAGTCCCTGGAATTCGAGGGTTTGGCTTCAGAGCCTGAGCAGGGAATGGAGGTGCTGAGTGTGTCACAGGGAGAAACTGCGATAAGATTGAACAGAAATTGGATTTTTGAGTGCTCACACCACTCAAAGGAGGTTTG